CAAGAGTAAACAGCTTAGAGAGGAACATAAATGAATTCATGGAGCTGAAAAACACAACACCAGAACGTCACGAAGCATACACAAGTTTCAAAAGCTGAATTGACCAAGCAGAAGAAAGAATACCAGAGGTCAATGATCAACTCAATGAAATAATACAAGAAGGCAAGATTAGGAAAAAAAGAGTAAAAAGAAACGAACAAAGCCTCCAAGAAACATGGGATTATGTGAAAAGAGCTAATCTATGTTTCATAGGTATACCTGAATGTGATGGAGGGAATGAATCCAAGCTGGAAAACACTCTTCAGGATATTATCCAGGAAAACTTCCCGAACCTAGCAAGGCAGGCCAATATTCAAGTCCAGGAAATACAGAGAACACCACAAAGATATTCCTCAAGAAGAGCAACCCCAAGGCACATAATCATCAGATTCACCAGGGTTGAAATGAAGGAGAAAATGCTAAGGGCAGCCAGAGAGAAAGGTGGGGTCACCCACAAAGGGAAGCCCATAAGACTCACAGCGGATCTCTCAGCAGAAAGCATACAAGCCAGAAGAGAGGAGGGCCAATATTCAACATCCTTAAAGAAAAGAACTTTCAACCTAGGATTTCATATCCAGCCAAACTAAGTTTCATAAGTGAAGGAGAAATAAAATCCTTTACAAACAATTACTCAGAGAGTTCATTACCACCAGGCCTGCTTTACAAGAGCTCCTGAAAGAAGCACTAAACACAGAAAGGAACAACCAGTACCAGCCACTCCAAAAACGTACTAAATGGTAAACACCATCATCACAATGAATAAACTGTGTCAACTAACAAGCAAAACAACCAGCTACCATCAAATTGGCAGGATCAAATTCACACATAACAATATTAACCCTAAATGTAAATGGGCTAAATGCCCCAATCAAAAGACACAGACTGGCAAATTGGATAAAAAGCCAAAACCCATTGGTGTCCTGTATCCAGGAAACCCATCTCACATGCAAGGATACACATAGGCTCAAAATAAAGGGATGGAGGAAGATTTACCAAGCAAATGGAGAGAAAAAAAAGCAGGAGTTGCAATCCTAGTCTCTGATAAAATAGACTTAAACCAACAAAGATCAAAAGAGACAAAGAAGGGCATTACATAATGGTAAAAGGATCAATGCAACAAGAAGAGCTAACAATCCTAAATATATACGCACGCAATACAGGAGCACCCAGATACATCAAGTAAGTTCTTAATGACTTACAAAGAGACTTAGACTCCTATACAATAATAGTGGGAGACTTTAATGCTTCACTGTCAATATTAGACAGATCAACGAGACAGAAAATTAACAAGAATATCCAGGACTTGAACTCAGACCTAGACCACGCAAACCTAATAGACATTTATAGAACTCTCCACCTCAAATCCACAGAATATACATTCTTCTCAGAACCACATCACACCTACTATAAAATTGACCGCATAATTGGAAGTAAATCACTCCTCAGCAAATGCAAAAGAAAGGAAATCCTAACAGTTTCTCAGACCACGGTGCAATGAAGTTAGAACTCAGAATTCAGAAACTAACTCAGAACCACAAAACTTCATGGAAACTGAACAAATGGCTCTTGAGTGCTGACTGGATAAACAATGAAACACAGGCAGAAATAAAGATGTTCTTTGAAACCAATGAGAACGAAGACACAACATACCAGAATCTTTAGGACACATTTAAAGCAGTATATAGAGGAAAATATATAGCAATAAATACTCACATGAGAACCAAGGAAAGATATAAAATCGACACCCTACCATCAAAATTGAAAGAGCTAGAGGAGCAAGACCAAAAAAACTCAGAACCTAGAGGAAGACAAGAAATAACTAAGATCAGAACAGAACTGAAGGAGACAGAGACACAAAAAACCCTTCAAAATATCAATAAATCCAGGAGCTGGTTTTTTGAAAAGATCAACAAAATAGAAAGACCACTAGCCAGATTAATAAAAAAGGAAAGGGAGAAGAATCAAATAGATGCAATAAAAAGCGATAAAGGGGATATCACCACAGATTCCACAGAAATAAAACTACCATCAGAGATTACTACAAACAACTCTATGCACGTAAACCTGGAAGAAATGGATAAATCCCTGGACACTTGCATCCTCCCAAGCCTAAACCAAGAAGTTGAAAACCTGAATAGACCAATAACAAGGGCTAAAGTTGAGGCAGCAATTAATAGCCTACCATCCAAAAGAAGCCCAGGTCCAGATGGGTTCACAGCCGAATTCTACCAGACATAAAGAGGAGCTGGTACCACTCCTTCTTAAACTATTCCAAACAATCCAAAAAGAGGGAATCCCTTCCCAAATCACTTTATGAGACCAACACCATCCTGATAACAAAACCTGGCAGAGACTCAACAAGAAAAGAAAACTTCAGGCCAATATCCATGATGAACATAGACGCAAAAATTTTCAATAAAATACTGGCAAACCAATTGCAATAGCACATCAAAAAGCTTATCCATCACAATCAAGTAGGCTTCATCCAGGGATGCAAGGCTGGTTCAACATATGCAAATCTATAAACGTAATTCACCACATAAACAGAACCAAACACAAAAACCACATGATTATCTCAATAAATGTAGAGAAGGCCTTTGACAAAATTCAACAACCCTTTATGCTAAAAACTCTCAATAAACTAGGTATCGATGGAACATATCTCAAAATAATAAAAATTATTTACGACAAACGCACAGCCAATATCATACGGAATGGGCAAAAACTGGAAGCATTCCCTTTGAAATCCAGCACTAGACAAGGATACCCTCTCTCACCACTCCTAGTCAATATAGTATTGGAAGTTCTAGCCAGAGCAATCAGGCAAGAAAAAGAAATAAAGGGTATTCAATTAGGAAAGGAGGAAGCCAATTGCCTCTGTTTGCAGACAACATGATTGTATATTTAGAAAACCCCGCTGTCTCAGTCCAAAATCTTCCTGAAACTGATAAGCGACTTCAGCAAACTCTCAGGATACAAAATCAATGTGCAGAAATCACAAGCATTCCTACACAGCAATTACAGACTTAAAGAGAGCCAAATCAAGAATGAACTGCCATTCACAACTGCTACAAAGAGAATAAAATACCTAGGAATACAACTAACAAAGAATGTAAAGGACATCTTTAAGGAGAACTACAAACCACTGCTCAACGAAATAAGAGAGGACATAAACAGATGGAGAAACATTCCATGCTCATGGTTAGGAAGAATCAATACTGTGAAAATGGCTATACCGCCCAAAGTAATTTATAGATTCAATGCTATCCCCATCAAGCTACCAATGATCTTCTTCACAGGACTGGAAAAAACCACCTTAAACTTCATATGGAACCAAAAGAGAGCCCGCATAGCCAAGTCAATTCTAAGTAAAAAGAACAAAGCTGGAGGCATTATGCTACCTGACCTCAAACTATACTACAAGGCTACAGTAATCAAAACAGCATGGTACTGGTACCAAAACAGAGATATAGACCAATGGAACAGAACAGAGGTCTCAGAGGCAACACAACACATCTACAACTATCTAATCTTTGACAAACCTCACAAAAACAAGCAATGGGGAAAGGATTCCCTGTTTAATAAACAGTGTTGGGAAAACTGGCTAGCCATGTCCAGAGAGCAGAAACTGGACCCCTTCTTGACTCCTTACACTAAAATTAACTCCAGATGGATTAAAGACTTAAACATAAGACCTAACACCATAAAAACTCTAGAAGAAAACCTCGGCAAAACCATTCAGGACATAGGCATAGGCAAGGACTTCATGACTAAAACACCAAACGCATTGGCAACAAAAGCCAAAATAGACAAATGGGACCTAACTCCACAGCTTCTGCACAGCAAAAGAAACAGTCATTAGAGTGAATCAGCAACCAACAGAATGGGAAAAAATTCTTGCAATCTACCCATCTGACAAAGGGCTAATATCCAGAATCTACAAAGAATTAAAACAGATTTACAAGAAAAAAACAAACAAGCCCATTCAAAAGTGGGTGAAGGATATGAACAGACACGTTACAAAACGAGACATATATGAGGCCAAAAAACATATGAAAAAATGCTCATTGTCACTGGTCATTAGAGAAATGCAAATGAAAACTACATTAATATACCATCTCACACCAGTTAGAATGGCGATCATTAAAAAATCTGGAGACAACAGATGCTGGAGAGGATGTGGGGAAATAGGAACACTTTTACACTGTTGGTGGGAGTGTAAATTCGTTCAACCATTGTGGAAGACAGTGTGGAGATTCCTCAAGGACCTAGAAATAGAAATTCCATTTGACCCAGCCATCCCATTACTGGGTATATAACCAAAGGATTATAAATCGTTCTATTATAAGGATACATGCACACTAATGTTCACTGCAGCATTGTTTACAATAGCAAAGACTTGGAACCAAACCAAATGCCCACCGATGATAGACTGGACAGGAAAAATGTGGCACATATACACCATGGAATACTATGCAGCAATAAAAAACCATGAGTTCATGTCCTTTGTAGGGACATGGATGAACCTGGAAACCATCATTCTCAGCAAACTGACACAAGAACAGAAAATCAAACACTGCATGTTCTCACTCATAGGCGGGTGTTGAACAATGAGAACACATGGCCACAGGGAGGGAGGCATCACACACTGGGGTCTATCAGGGGGAACTAGGGGAGGGACAGTGTGGGGTGGGGAGTTGGGGAGGGATAACATGGGGAGAAATGTCAGATATAGGTGATGGGGAGGAAGGCAGCAAACCACATTGCCATGTATGTACCTATGCAACAATCTTGCATGTTCTTCATATGTACCCCAAAACCTAAAATGCAATAAATTAAAAAAATGAAAAAAGATTTAAAAAAGCAGTAAGGCAGGATCTCAGTGTACTGTAGCTATGGACCAATGTTAAGAGAGAAAACACAAGAAGGATGAAAGCCTCGGAGGAGAAAAGCACACTGACAATGGTATATTGCTTCCTTTGCTTCTCCTTTCTCTGTAGTGTTGATATTCTAAGTAACTCCAATGTATCAATGGAAGCTGCATTCTTTCCGTTTTGGCAAAGAGAAAAATAGTTAAAGTAGGTGATGTTGATGAAAATAGTAAAGTAGTTCATACTAACAAAAACTAGAGGCTAAAATAGATTCCAGGAATAAGTGAAAAAAATGAAAAAGTCTGTTTCATCTGCTATTTCAACACAAATTCATTATTGTAAGACTGTCAAACTCATATTTATTGGTAAGCAAATGTTTCCTATAATTATCCTGACAATTAACATTACTTTACAGTAAAGTCAGTTGTAACTAATTTATTCACTACTCCCACTCCTTTGCTGAAGTTGTCTACATCATCAATGTAAACTAGTACTAAATCAAGTATATTAAATTTTGCCTGGTTTTTTACCAATTAAAAGGGTCTATTTAACTATTTATTCATATTGGTCTAGATAAGTCTGTCCTAAATTTATAAGTTCTGCTTGACATTACAAAAATCAATTCCTTTGTTTTCTTCCTCCTTATCAAACCAGGCTAATATGCCAAAATCACTAAAAACATTTAAGTGATTTCTGTCATCCTTAATTCATAAATTCATTCATATAAATATGTAAAATCACCTAAAATAAAAAATAATCTGAAAGTTATAAAGGAAAATCATATCAATATCTATTACAGTCAAGATACTTTTTATAGTCATTATCCTTTCAGTTAGTCTGAATTAAGAAGGCAAAATACCAAAATTTGTTACAATACCATCACTCTTTCTAAATTCCCATGGGACACAGTTGAATTTCTAAATCTTTTTCAACTTCCTATACATTATAATTGGTTATTTTTCCACCCCATCCCCAAAAGATTGGGCACACCATGATTACAGAGCCTGGGTCTATTGAACCTTACATCCCTTAGTGGTTTCTAGCACACTACCTTAACAAATATTATATTTAATATTTTCTACTCACCAATATCCCTTCTACGTATCTCACGAGGATATTGCAAGGATCAAATAGTACAATATTTATGAGAGTATTGAGCTTAAAATATTGTATGGATATCTGATGTATTTTATTTCATTACTGTCTATGATTAGTCTAAATCTTAGCTGGCAAGTAGTGATATGCTCTAGGGCATGAGAACAGAACAAACAATCCTCCTGATAAGTATGAGTTTGATGGTGGTTCCATTGCCTCCTTTATTCTGCCCCCCATTCTATAGGTTCTAGACCCGCTTTCTCATGACCAAAGCTTTCATCACTCCCTACCCACATCATCCTGGCACTCTTAACCACACACAAACATCATCTGGCATTTTTATGGTTTCTAGTACCAGCTCCACTTCCAGCTCCTAGTCTATAGTTCATAACCATTGGCTTTTTTTGGCCACTATCTCTAAGCTGTCTCTTACTGGGTAAGGTAAAGAGGTAGAATCAACAGGTCAGGGGTCTTATGACCTAACCCTATCCCTGTGATACTGAATAAATCATGTCTATTTCTGCTCCTTTATAAAAATACCAATATAAATATATAACACTGCCTTAGCTGCACTAATTTAGGTAGGATATGAGGAGCCCAGGATCTAGGTTATTGTGTCTTTCAAGAACACATTCTGGCATTGAGAAACTAATCCTGAAATAAAAATGAAGAGGCTTAGTACTAGTCCCAGCTCTAAACAACAATTTACTCTGTGATCTCAGAAATAACATATAATGTCTCTAGATTTATAGATATTCTCCTATAATTAAGAATTGGAATAAATTTTAAAGGTCTCCTCCAGATCTAAAATTCTGAGATGAAAAGCCTACACTGCCGCCTTCCAGGGGCCATTAGAATTTTTCAGCTTGTATTTCAATTGACCTTTACCACTTGCTACTAAACATGCCAAAAATATCTGAATAATTCAATCAGACAAGATACCATTTGAGTAACCAGTTCTAGAAGAAATATTTCCTTTTTTTTTTTTTTTTTTTTTGAGACGGAGTTTCGCTCTTGTTACCCAGGCTGGAGTGCAATGGCGCAATCTCAGCTCACCACAACCTCCGCCTCCCGGGTTCAGGCAATTCTCCTGCCCTAGCCTCTTGAGTCACGGGGATTACAGGCACGCACCACCATGCCCAGCTAATTTTTTTTATTTTTTTTTTAGTAGAGACGGGGTTTCACCATGTTGACCAGGATGGTCTCGATCTCTTGACCTCGTGATCCACCCGCCTTGGCCTCCCACGGTGCTGGGATTACAGGCTTGAGCCACCGCGCCCGGCCGAAATATTTTCTTTAATCTGTTGTCAAAACATTCCTTTCCAATCCAAAAAGTCCTTTTCCTTCATTATTATAAAATAAAGATATTTTCCTATAAACCTTCAACATAAACAGAAACTAAAAAATACAGCTTGTATTCATCAAGTTTAGTAACAAACACAAACTCAAACTTTATTTTCTTTTGTCTTTTGTTGTTGTTGTTTTGTTTGTTTTGAGACAGAGTCTCTGTCGCCCAGGCTATAGTGCAGCGTGGGACAGTAGCTGAGATTACAGGCATGTGCCACCATGCCCAGCTAATTTTTTTATTTTTAGGAGAGACCAGGTTTCACCATGTTGGCCAGGCTGGTCTTAAACTCCTGACCTCAAGTGATCCAGCCGCCCTGGCCTCCCAAAGTGCTGGGATTATTATAGGCATGAGCCACCATGCCCAGCCCAAAATTTACTTTCTAACACCAGTCCAGGACACATACAGCACTTTATATTTAAAATTTTTTAAAATTTTAAAATGGTTTTAGATTAACAGAAAAGTTGCAGATAGTACAGAGAGTTTCTATATACTGTGCCCAGATTCCCTTATTGTTAAAATCTTGCACTGCCCTGGTACATTTATCACAATTAACAAAACAATGTTATTATTCACTAAACTCCATAATTTATTCAGATAAATATACTAAACATCAAAAAATAATTTCCGGCCAGATGCAATGGTTCATGCCTGCAATCCCGGCACTTTGGAAGGTCAAGGCAGGAGGATCATTCGAGCCCAGGAGTTTGAGACCAGCCTGGGCCACACAGGGAGACTCCATATCTACAAAAAATAAAAAACTTAGCCGGGCATGATGGCACATGCCTGAGGTCCCAGCTACTTGGGAGGCTGAGGTGAGAGGATTCCTTGAGCCTGTGAGGTTGAAGCTGCAGTGAGCCCAGATTTCACCACTGCACTCCAGCCTGGGCAACAGAGCAAGACCCTGTCCCCCGCGCAAACCCCCACACGCCCATCTAAAAATATTTCCAATGCAAAAAGTAAAATTATGCCGGGCGCAGTGGCTCAAGCCTGTAATCCCAGCACTGTGGGAGGCCGAGGCGGGTGGATCACGAGGTCAAGAGATAGAGACCATCCTGGTCAACATGGTGAAACCTCATCTCTACTAAAAATACAAAAAATTAGCTGGGCATGGTGGCGCATGCCTGTAATCCCAGCGACTCAGGAGGCTGAGGCAGGAGAATTGCCTGAACCCGGGAGGTGGAGGTCGCAGTGAGCCGAGATCGTGCCATTGCACTCCAGCCTGGGTAACAAGAGCGAAACTCCGTCTCAAAAAAAAGTAAAAAAAAAAAGTAAAATTATTCTTTTTTAAAAATAAACCAAAAGATGAAAACATACAACATAATGAAAGATACATAAATAGAATATATGCAGAAGACATAAGAAATAATTGTCTGAAGATTAAGCATATCAATGTAAATAATTCAAAGAGCTTAACTCTTCCATTGAAACAAGATTTTCAGATTGGTTCAGAAAGTAAAACTAATAGTATGTTATATATAAGGGCATACACCTAAAACAAAGTAACTAAGAAATATAAAAGGAAAAAAAGAGGAACAAAGGTATAACAGGCAAATATGGCTGCGTGCGGTGGCTCATGCCTGTAATCCCAAAACTTTGGGAGGCTGAGGCGGGTGGATCACTTGAGGTCAGGAGTTCGAGACCAGCCTGGTCAACATGGTAAAGCCCCGTCTCTACTAAAAACACAAAAATTAGATGGGTGTGGTGGTGGGCACCTGTAATCCCAGCTACTAAGGAGGCTGAGGCAGGAGAGTCACTTGCTCCCAGGAGGCAGAGATTACAGCGAGCCAAGATCGCATCACTGCACTCCAGCCTGGGAGACAGAACAACACTCCAACTCAAAAAAAAGAAAACATGGATTATGATCTTAATACCTCACAATATAAAATTCAGGCCAAAAAGCAAAAGCACCTAATAAGATTAAGGAGGACACTTCTTTATGCTGAAGGCCAAATTAACAATGAAGAAGACAAATCAGTTATGAATGCCTATTAACCAAATAACACAGTTACAAGCTTGCAAAGCAAAAATCTATATAGTAGACACATGGAGAAATTAATGGAAGCAGAATAACCACCCAGATGCACTGGTTCATGCCTGCAATCCCAGCACTGAACTACTCAGAAAAAAAAAAGGGAAAAGAAAAGAAAGAAAACACAAGTTAAGATCTTAATACATCACAATGTAAAATTTTACAATGTAAAACTTAGCTGGGCTAAGTTTTTTTTATTTTTTGTAGATAATGGAGTCTCCCTCTGTGGCCCAGGCTGGTCTCAAACTCCTGGGCTCAAATGATCTTTCCTGCCTTGATCTCCCAAAGTGCTGGGATTGAAGGTATGAACCACTTTGGGAAGCAGTAGGTAAAACAATAGAAGACCTAAGCAATATAATCAATAAGGTAGATCTTACTATACTGTATTGTATTTATAATATTGAGTTTTGTGTTCTGATAGAGAATACCTCATTTCAAGTAGACATAGACTATTCACAAAAATTGGCCATAGATAAGGTCATAAATCTCGATAAGCTGAAGAGTAGAAATAACACAAACTAGATATGAATACACAGACAATGCAATGCATCCAGAACTGTGAGAAAATAAATTTCTGTTTAATATCACCCAATCTGTAGTATTTTGTTATGGCAGACTAATACAATTACTGACCAATTATCTTCCATGAACTGACATACAAAAATAACAAAAATATCAACTAATAATATTGTAGTATAATAAAATCTGGCAATATAGTAGTTACTCCTTATCCATGGGGTTCCAAGATGCCCAAGTGAATGCCTGAAACTGCAGATACTTCCAAATCCTTTATGTGCCATGGGTTTTTTGTTGTTGTTTTTTGAGACGGAGTTTCTCTCTTGTTGCCGAAACTGTAGTGCAATGGTGCTACCTCGGCTTACTTCAACCTCCACCTCCCAGGTTCAAGCGATTCTCCTGTCTCAGCCTCCTGAGTAGCTGGGATTACTTATTATTATGTAATACTTATTAGTATTATTATTACTTATTATTGTGCCACCACGCCCAGCTAAATTTTGTATTTTTAGTAGAGACAGGGTTTCACCATGTTAGCCAGGCTGGTCTCAAACTTCTGATATCAAGTGATCCACCAGCCTTAGCCTCCCAATGTGCTGGGATTACAGGCATGAGCCACCGCAGCTGGTCTACCATGTTTTTTTTAACTATATACACACTGTACAACATGGATACAATGGACAAAGGGATAATTCAAACCTGGACAGGGTGGCATGAAATTTCATCATGCTACTAAGAATGGAGTGAAATTTAAAACATATGAATGGTTTATTTCTGTAATTTTCCATGTAATATTTTCAGACTTCAGTTGATCACCAGTAACTAAAACCATGGAAAGCAAAACTGCACGTAAGGAAACACTATTCTATATTAAGCATTTATTCTGACTTTTTAGAAGGAGCTACAGTATACTCTCAATTGACAAGGAAAATCTAATCATTATAGAAGAAAACAAATACCAAAGAAAATATTAAATTTTAAAAATCATCATTTTATACCTCCCAAGTAATTAATTCAAGCAAGGATCATCAATGAATGTTCAAAACATTAAGTAAAGGATAGTTATGAAACAGACTTTTAAGAGAGCATCAAAGTATCCTCCCATATTTTACTTGCTCAATTGCAAAGAGATAAATGTTCCTCTACAATGGGGAAACCTAGAGGGTCACCATAGTAACTAAGATATCAAACTTAACATCCCCACCAGTGGAGAAATAATTTTATGTGCCTTGAAATATAAAATAATGGTAGCTACATAATATCATCTACAAAGTATCTTGCCCAAAACTGTTCAATGCAAATCAAGCAAGTCTACCTTCCATCTACAAGTATATAAGAAATAGAAAAACCACAAGAAAATAAATCCAGAATGTGTAACATTGCATAAAACAATCAGCCTAATCTCTCTGAAAAATAAATCTTATGAGTCACGAATATTAGGGTGACTTCTCCAGAGCACAATAACTGAAGATCCTTAATAACCAAATGCAATGTATGAGACTTGATTAGATCCGGGTTGAAAAATACCCATCTAAAAGATGTTCAGGGAGGTTGGGTGGCTCACACATTTGGGAGGCCAAGATGGGTGGATCACCTGAGGTCAGAAGTTTGAGACCAGCCTGGCTGACATGGCAAAACCCTGTCTCCACTAAAAATACAAAAATTAGCTGGGTGTTATGGCACATGCCTATAATCCCAGCTACTCAGGAAGCTAAGGCAGGAGAATCACTTGAATCCGGGAGGCAAAGGTTGCAGTGAGCCGAGATCGCACCACTGCACTCTAGCCTGGGCAACAGAGTGAGACATAAATAAATAAAAGATATTCAAGGATAACTAGAGAAATCTGAATTAATGTTAAATTATATTAGGAAATCATTATTTTTCTTAGCTGTGACGATGATATTGTGGTTACAAAAGAATGTCCTATTTTCAAGTGATGTATGCTGAAGTATTTAGGGATGAATCACATTTTCAACTTTTTTCAAATAGTTCAGCTAAAAAAAGTATGACACATATATACAGAGATAAAGATAAAGACAATA